TCAGCTTTTGTTAATGGATTGTGCTAATAAAGTGTGATCCTATAACGAAAATAGTTTTTTTCCCCCATGCTACACTTAAAGTAACACAAGTTTAAAAGGAGACACTACAGACTCAAAATACTGAGAAAATGAATCAGACAGAATAAATAGAAAAATTTACTAAATTCCATGTACTAGTTCCCGCCCCCCCCCAAAACTACCCACCCAAAAAACCAACCAACACTAAAACCCCTGCCACGTCACTGATACTGTGCAGAATAGAGACTCAAATATTTAAATGAATAAGGAAAGTTACGGCTTAGCCTCTGAGAACAAAACTAACGGAAAGCTGCTTTATCCTGGAGAGCCTTGGATGACACTGGCTGAGCCTGTCTTGAAGGTCTCCCTCCACTGCTCAAAAACTAAGCCATCTTGCTGTATTTAGCACTTTTTTCTAGACCACCCACTCAGACACAGATACACAAACCACATGTGCTAGGAATGTCTGACCTGCACTGAAATCAATATCACCATTACGACCTTATTACTTGCACAGCCAGGCTTTTAGTACAACTCATTTGTTTTATCTTTTCAGTACCTTTCATTTCTTTTCTTAATGGTTTGTGCGTATTCCCTTTTCTAACCTTTAGAAACTTTTGGAAATTGTTTAAGGGGAGAAATTGTGGGGAAAAAAGTTTTAAGTACCGGTACATCTTTCTTTCCCCTTTGGTGGAGATTAGCTTTACTTCTAGGTCTTAATAGAAACATGTAATTGACAACTTAACAAGCCTACAATTTCCTGAACGGGACACAGACCTTGAATTCTGTTTGCATCTAGCAGTAATGATGAAAGGCAATCATTTATGCCATACTCTTATAAGAGATGAGGGCCAAGTTTATTAATGGAAGGATCAGCTTTACAGCACAGGTTGGGTGATGGAACATAGGAAAATGCATGACCCATTTGAAGTGACATCCAAGAGTGGGATTTCCAGCTTGAGCTATCCCCATCATGATGAAAATGCACCTCCTGTTGCATTCACAGATGAACATTTCACTTTGCTCAGTCTTCATGCTGAAAAAAAAAAAAAAAAAAGCAAAGGTATTGCTTTATGGCAGAATGAATCAGCCTGATGTAGAAAAAGCGAATAGATTAGATAGAATACTCACCATGAATATTAATCAGATATTAGTGTTTCAAATCCATTTCACGATAACTCAGATGTTTGTACCCTACTACAATCCACTTAACCCTCAGATCCTTAGGGTCAACAACAACCCAGTTATACGAATAATGCACTGAAGAGCCTCCACCCTGAATATTGTGTCCTGCTATCTTAAATAAGATCTAAGTGCTGACCAGCAAACAGTATTCTCTCCATTAATGTAAGGAATTATATTCAGCCACCTAATGTTTTTTTATTTAAATCAAAACTGAAAGGGCATTGTTCTTATTGTGGTAATATTTCTCCTTCCTGTCTAGTCACTCTGGCACTTCTTGCTGCTCAAGTAAATGCAGGGCCCTTGTATAATTGTGCTTTGATGTAAATTTGTCTGCTCTCTCACTCACAAGGCCAGCCTTGTAAACTTACTTGTTCTAACTGCACTAATGCACTGGTTAAGTCACATGCAAACACAAAAACGCTTCAGAAATAGGAGTTGTAGTCCCATCGTCCACTAGAATTTCTTAATCCTTTCATGCCCTAGAGTAAATTTTCCAGGTACGCTATCCAGCACTGGGAAATGGGCACCCATGAACAGTCTGTGCTAAGGAATTATTGTTAAAACAGCGTAAAAACCTTCACGAAGTACAATATATATGGTTTAACAATTAGGGAAACTGTTGAGGTTCAGAAAAACATCTGTCTTGTACTTGTTAATCTTTAGAATAAGTTTTACATTATTTATTTTTTATAGTGCCTGGTAGCTCCTGCCATGGTTAAGGGCCTGTCAGCATTTCCATCATACGCCTCTATTTCAGTTTATTGTAGTAGGAGTGCCAAAATACATATTTACACTTTAGACAGTAGCACCTTTGTCTTTCTGATTTAAAATCCACTCTCTCAAAGTCCCCTAACTACAGACTGGATGGAGCAGCCACAAGTGACTGAGTAAATAATACGATTTTAAGTGGAGTCTAAGTCAACTCCAGCTTAGCATCAAGCTGTAGAAGTCAATGGACCAATATGCACACACAAAAATACAGATTTAAATACGAGCCTGCTGAAAGATACGGTACAGACAATTAAAATGCAAGCAAGTGATGGAAGATAGAAAAGTATTCCAGATGGAACAAAGAAATATAACATGAGAGCAAATCAAACATTCTCCTCCAGACACTGCTTGGATGAGATAACGCACATGACAACAAAAAAGGACATGTTTCTCTACGGACCTCTAGCTACTTTCCCATCAGCTCTGCAAGCTCCAAGTAATAGGGTTTGAAATTTATGAGGTATTTCAAGAGGTCAGAACACTAATGTAGCTTCTAAGAAATCCAGATAATAATTACACTTTTCACTGACCTGAAACAGACTGTCACATACTTAATTTCATTCTGAAAACTAAAATCTGCCCTAAGTATCTTTTTTCTTATGAAGTCTTAATAAAATATTATGTAGGATCTCGCCAACCACAAGTACTATGTTTGCTTTACTTTTGAATGTATATAGATTTTACCTAAATTAATAAAAAGGGACAAATTCACAGATGGAAATAACTAAAACACCTCTTACACTTCAAAGACAGTTACCGATACAGCACAAATATAGTTATTTCATGCTTTACTTTTGATTCTCAATTAATTTTACTTATTTTTTGCTCAACCTCTTTACCACAGCTTGTGCCACCAAATACAGGTCTATTTTGTAAGAAGTTTCCTCTTGTGTTAAGGTGGATTAAGACACCTTTTTAAATTTAGGGGAAGTTGAAGTTTTCACGTGAACCAAACTTCTACTAAAATGTTATCCCCCTTGGATAGCCAATTTCTGAGGTGAACATTTAGTTAGTTTCAAGAATAAAGTTTCAGGGGGGTGGCCGTGTTAGTCTGTATCCACAAAAACAACGAGGAGTTTGGTGGCACCTTAAAGACTAACAGATTTATTTGGGCATAAGCTTTCGTGGGTAAAAAACCCATTTCTTCAGATGCATGCATCCATGCATCTGAAGAAGTGGGTTTTTTACCCACGAAAGCTTATGGTCAAATAAATCTTAGTCTTTAAGAATAAAGTTGTGCTTTCCATGATATACAATTGTTACTCTCTAATTACAGTGTTAAACTAGTGATGCAAAAGAGGGTTTTAAAATATTGCTTACTGCTAACCTCTGTCTGGTCAACTTAATCCATTATCCAAATTCATTCAGCTAATTTTTTTTTTAAATAGGTCGGTACTAAATGAAATCCCAAAACTTTTATTCTCTTGCACTTAAAAGCTAATGTAGCAGTTGTAAGGTAGAGCGTATGTGAAAAATTTTTAACTGGTCCCAAAGATCAATGTTCATAAACATAGTGGATTTAGGTAGGGTTTTTATGATTTTTCTTTTGAGAGAAATATGACTATTTGAAATTAATTGAAAAAGGATTTATTTTGTTTCTGCATACAAAATTGGATGAAAATAGCTAATGTAAAACTTTTTTGTTTTTTAAAGAGATCAACGCTTAGTGACTCTTATTCTATCAGAATTTTGTGGAAAACTCACTTTACAGTTAACACACACAAAATGCAGCTGCAGTCTGTTTATTTTCCAATCTTTAGAGAACTAAGATTTTATTTAAGGACGATCAAGGATTTATATGAAATTCAGAGGTAAAGTTATATTGCTATTGCAATAGTCTCCCTTTTATATGGGCTTCCCTACCCTTCCATCCCCATTCATATGTAAAATAGAAGTTGGCTAGTATTTCTATGGGTAACAGGACTTATTTCACCAGTTATTTAAAACAGCAGGATATTCAATTCATGCTAGAAGAAATCTTGGGCTCCCTTCCCCTCTTGAAGCTCAAGAGTTTTTACCACAAAATTTAGTTAGAAAAGTCAAAATGGACCAGACTCCACATGTATCTGATTTAACTAAAAAGGTAGTAAGTTGAATGTGCACTATTAGTTCAAAGACTTTTTTAAAGATTGCTTTTAGATTTCAAAACATTTTCATATAAAATGTTGACAAAAATTAACCCCACCCTCCAACATGCCTTCCCCACCCTCCCATCATCATCCTCCCGATGTCAAAATGATTTTTAAAGACGTTTCCCACAACAATTGCACATTGAGACGTGGACTTAACAACATAACGCTTCAAGTATGTTTCATGCCAATCGTCAATAAGAGTCATAACATTACTGAAAAAAGTACACTTGTTCTTTTGGAAGCCTGAAAGAGACTTTCCATGGGAGTATGGTTAAACAACATTTTAAATTTAAAAAACTGAAAAAAAAAACCAAAATAAAATATACGATTTTCTTTGGACTTAAAGAAACAGTGTTAATAATTCCCATTTGAATATGAAGAAATAACCCCAGCAGGACTCTAGTTTCACTGTACTGCACAAAACCATGTACATGAAACAATAAAACATACAGATACTACCGTTGTTCAACTGTGAATGAATATACTACATCTGGCATGTAAGCATACATGGGAAATATATTGGCCTCTCTGCAAACACGTTTTCTTAAGGCTGAACAAACCTTCGGATCCAGAAGTATTTCTTAATTGCATTCTCTTTTCATCAGGATCAAGAGTTTAATTTCCCATAAAGAGGTGACGGTTTCGTAATGAAATCATCATAATGAGATCACAGAGCATTGATTTCAAACTATTTGTAAATTCTCTGGACTGCACATGTATGCAAAATATTCCTCATTTTAAGGAAGTGTACATGGAAGAACATTTGTTTTCACAGACAAGAAATCCTTCTGGAAACGCAAGCAGATTACTCAACAGGTACTGAAATTTGGAATCTATATATATCTATCTAGATATATATATATTCCAACATGTCACTGTATAACAACAAAGATATTTTTTCAAAGAAAGGATTTTAATTTATCAGATGTAAAAAAAAAAGTCTAATCAGACCATGTACTGTATGAACAAACAAAAATACTATGCCAACAGTTTTTATGGTAAAGGTGAGTCAGACACTGGCAGCAGAAGAGTATTGAAACTCGCAGTAATAAATAGCTCCAAATTAAGAATTTTCTTACAACATTTCCTTAGAAAACAGGACCAGTATTCCTCCTTTTATGGTGATCCTGTAGAACACCTTCACTTTTATATATATCTAATATTATAACATTAAAACAGACACAAGAATGTTGATGACAAACAATGCTGGATTCAGGACAGTACACAGTAACACTTTTTTGTTACAAGTCCTACTGGTTTATTGACTAAGGCTAGACAGCAAGTCATATGATCCTATTTGGTGCATTTTTTACCATGGTCTAAGATCAATAAATGGATAGAGCCAAGGACCTGTTGTCCAACCCACTGTGGCAGACTGGAGACAAATATTAGGGCCACTTTTTGGTCCCCCACTTCATACCTTGTTTCCTGGAACTGCAAAAGTGGAAACAAGACTATAGTGTTTTAAGTGACTAGAGAAAGTCAGCAATAAGTGGCATTTTAACATGAGTAAGGTTATTAGGCTTGTGATGGTGCTGCATCAAAGGAGCATACATGGAACCCGAGTACTTGTAACATCTGGTAGCGTCATTCCCTCAATGACTTTAGAATATATGTATGCAATAATAAATAGATCAGTTATGTAATAAGGCAGTGTGTTGAACATGCATTCGTCTTGTGGACTGGAACACCACAGAGAGATACATGATACCATACACATTCATTAAGAACAAGTTTTTTTGTGGTTTTTTTGTGTGTTTTTTTTTTCAAGGCTATCCAGGCTAACTCTTCCAGAGCATTTCCTTGGTGAGAAGAGCGATCCTCTGAGTCTTGTCACTTTTCCTCTCCTTTATCAAGAGATGATGACTGGCTTTAAAGAAAAATAAAGCTGAAGAGGGTTGGTTTATTTTTTTCCCATTTTGGTTGCATCACTTTGAATGTTTTATTTAAAAAACAGTTTTTGATGCAGCCAGATGCTGTATCCTCAGGATGTTCCAGATGTTTCCAGGTAACTCTGTAGTTTACGGACTGTGGTTTTGTCCAGTGAGCAAAGGTCAAAGTCAAAGGTTGTGTTTGTGATATGAAAGTGTCCAGTTTCTTCTATAAGGTTTACAATCTGGGAGGAGAAAGAGAAAAAGAATATTTAGGTGAAAATTCCACCCATTTCATATTTTTACGATGTACTGCACAATTGAATACTCCTACTAAAGTATTACTGTATAATGAATATGAACAAGTCCACAAGACCACAATTCCAAAACAACAAATGGAACAAAATCAGAACCTTTTATGTTAATTTCCCCTTCCATCCCTCCCCTGAAGTTCTAATAGTTTTGACAAAACAGAATCTTAATTCAAACTACAACTGTTTATTTCCCCAGAACATAACCAATAAGGGTATCCAAAACTAAGGCCAAACTCTAGATTCAGCTAATTTCCAGCTGGAATTAACACCTAACAATAATTATTAGCACTGAGAAGAGTTTTTTTTTTAATCTTAAAAGCCTTTTACAAATCGCTAACTAATTATTTTAAAAAATCTTTGAGAGGTGTGGAGGTAAAATTTGTGTCTAGCGCATTTATCTGGCTCATAGCTAGGAATTCTGTTATTACAGGACATGATTGGTATTAAACCTTTTGCAAGTACAAACATTTGTAATATGTTTACCTTTAAAGAGGAAAACAAGGTCAAAGAGTTTTACAAGACAGAAATTGAGTACCACAGGCTAAGACAAAATGGTAAAAGAGAAGGAAAGAGGCACTACGTAAGCTACGTCAATAAATATACTTACATTAAAACTAAATTATATAATCTGTGTATATTTAAATCTACTAATAATAGATTGTAAACTGTTTCGGACAGAGACGGCATTTTTATGTATTTGTACTGCCCTAGCATAATGGAGTCATGTCCACCTAGGGGCACCAAATATAAAATAATAATATATTTGTTTATAAAATGTCTTATGTATGTTTGGTGTCTGTTTTCCCATACGTGGGTCTGGTTTACCTGACACTTCGATAACATTATCAAGCTTATTATGTAATACTTGGCCTTTGATGACTGTTGGGACCCCATAAACTCTTGGAGGGGGGGGAACAATCCTTACAAAATAGTTACCAGTTTAAAACAAAACTTCACAAAACACAACTTCACAAGTTCAGTTACAGTGGAAATCTCAACAGATCTTGCATCAATTGTTAATTCCAGGAATATATGCTACATCTTTTGGATTAACAACTCTACATCAAGTATGATATATTGTAAACCAAAACAGGTGTTTAAAGTTAAACCACAAACTAATCTCATCAGGAAGACAAGGGGAAACTCCTTTACCTGGTGAGACACATATGGCTCAGATTACCTAGTGTTCAGACATGTCCCGTCAGAAAAGGGGTGGTGGGGTCTTGCCAGGAATGGTGAAGAGCATAAGTGAGCTAGTTCATTTCACACTAAGGCTAGGTCTATACTACACAGCTTTTAGCGACATGGCTGTGTCATCACAGCTGTGCCGCTAAAAGTCGTGCAGTGTAGGTGCTGTTTGTCGGCTCTCCTGCCAACAAAAAACTTCTACTCCCAATGAGTAGGATTTGCATTGTCGGCAGGAAAGTGCTCCTGCCAACAACATGCTGTTCACACTGGCACTTGTCGCAGCAAAACTTTTGTCTTTCGGGTGGGGGGTGGAGAAAGGGGGGGTTTAACAAAGACAAAAGTTTTGCCATTCAATTGACAGTGTAGACATAGCCTGCGTAAATGATCATTTATATCTGGAAGGAGCAGTTATGCTGAAAGCTGATTTTCTATAAAATTTAACTCTGAATAATGTATGCTATATGGCGTGTAACTAGACAAACTAGTCACACTTAGGAGAGGAATACCATTATTTGTTAAATGTTGCCAGTGAGGAAGGGGCGAGTGATAGCTCATGGAATCAGACTCCACATGCACCTGCTTTTCATTAGGCAGAACCCCAAGGCACCTCTTTCAGCTGGCACACTGAGGGAGATGTGGTACCATGGCAGCTGCAACCCCAGTGAATCTACAATCACATGGATTATCTGGAATAAAGTCACAGAGGGAGCAGAGAGGACCACTACTTCTCTCCACATTCTTTCCATCTCTAGCTGTCTGGGAATTTAGAACACACTCATTGTCATGTCCATTCCACATGTTTAGCCACACCCAAGCTATACACAGCTCATTTAGTTGGGGTAGAGAATTCCTTATCCCAGCCCAAGAATCAAGTTATATGGAGCAAATCCTTGTTGCAAGGGATTTATTCCATTGTTTAGAAGTTAGCCCTTTTTCAAAGAGATTATTCTTCATTCCCTGACTTCAAACATTACAACTCTAGCTTTCCTGAGTTGGATCTTTTAAAAAGTCAATGCCAGTAAATAGAAGAAACTTCTAATTTGTCTAAAGAAACTTCATCTTCCACTTTAGAGTTTATTCTCACGACTCAGTTCCTAAACAGTGAGATGACTGATTGGTAATTAACTGTGGATATGAATTTCCTTGAAAGAACACACACATAATTGTCACGCTTACAGAATGAATTTCTATAGCAGCATTATTGAGGTCAGACAACTCTGTCTTGGCTAACTGGATTGTGCTTGGCAACCCAATAGTGTAATAAATAGCGTTTTATGGATTTTATAGAAAAAAGCCTTCACACTCAGTATTAGGATGAGAGGAAGCAGAAAAGGAACAAACAGAAGCATATATTTCATTTTCTGAGGAAGAGGAAAAATAACCTCTTTGTTTAGTATATTGAAAGAAAAAGGTTCAGTTCAAATGTCTATTTCCCCAAGAGTTTCAAATGCACTTGAAACTTCTTGGCACAATATCATTTAACTACTCTGCAAATGCAACTGTCAAATATTACAGATGTGAGGGGATTTTGGAACCTAAAGCATGAGCAAAGAGTATATAGGTGAATTTAGCTCCCCGATTTACAAGAGAAACTAATGAACTTAACTTAAACTATTTTAAAAAAAACTTTGGTACATTTGACACTATAAAAATATTCAGGACATTGCTGATCTTGAAAATGTGGATATTTGTGTAGAATTTTTTTATATGGGCAACTGTTAAGGAGATTTCTTTAAATCCTGGACAGGTCAAGACTGAAGATATTTATGTAAACTTTTTCTTAGGGTATGTCTACACCCAGCCGCTAGTTCGGCGGCTGGCAATCG